TCAAGATGCTGAAATGTTCCAAAATCCGTCTGTCGCCTTCATACCACATTACATGTAGGCCTACGCGAGCGCCGCGCAGAAAAGCCTCATTGAAGAGGAAAAAGCTACCGAGGAAGAAGCTGCCGCCGTGCAACAAACCGAGCAAACTTCTCCTGAAGCATCTCAAGATGCCGAAGATTAAGTGGCCGATCGGGAGGTTATCGCGGTGGAAGGCGCTGACGATGAGGCAGAGAAAGGCTTGCTCAAGCAGACTGTTGAGGTCGCCGAGCAAACGGTCGACCTTGAGTTAGATTGAAGTGTCCCAATCTATCTCCTGCTTTGTTTTTGTTTCCTTTCTTTCTTTTTTGAATGTAACCGGGCTAGGACCTACATTTGTAATGCAATTTCCTTGATCAATGAAGTTTGAACTTTTTGCTCGTTGATCTTCTATTTCTGTTCGGTCGACACGTGCAAAATTTCTTCATTCAAATTTTAATGAATCTCAACTAGGAGGTCAACTATGTTGCGCAATATGCCAAGCTAAACTCAGAATTGCTTCAATTTAAATGTTCGCGAATCATAACTAGCAGCTCGGCTCTTTGATTTTTCGAATGAACCCAGACATTTTCATTCGGCCAAGAAAAATCAGCTCGGCCCTACATTGGGCTAAGCGCGAACATTTAGAGTAGGCGAGCATAAATCAGCTCAGCCTTTATAGCTTTGAAAACATCCGAACATTTCCTTTTGACCGAGCAGACATCACCTCGACCGCTCGTTGTTCGATAACAAACCAAATCTCGTATTTGGGCGGGCAAAAATCAGCTCGGTGCTAAAGGGAGTTGGACAAATCACCAATGTTTCATTTTGGCCGAACAAAACTAGCTCAGCCTGTAAATTGGGCAAAACACCAATATTTCAATGTGGCCGGGCAAAATCAGCTCGACCTTTTGAGTTGGATAGAACGCCAACATTTCTTTTGTCCGAGCAAAGTCAGCTTGGCTTTTTGTAAGTTGGCCAAGGCACCAACATATCGCTTGGCCGAGCAAAATCAGCTCGGCCTTTGCATTGGGCAAAACACCAACATTTCGTTTAAGTTGGTCATCACGCCAACACCCCAATTGGGCGAACAGAGATCAGCTCGGTCATTACACAAATTAGACAATTCACCAACTGTTTGTGCGGTCTGTTTTTATACCGGCAAGTGGAAATCAGTTCTGCCCGGTACAGGTTGGTCTCTTTGCCCCTGGCATCCATAGTGGCCCAGTATCCTTGCCATGTCATTCGTACAGAAAGATACAATTCAAAAGAACGATAGGGCTATTTTTCATTACAAAAAGCAGTGCTATCTCTTACATCAAGTGCCAAAAGGCTAAAGGTCTAGAAAGCTAAGCAACAAAAGTAATTACATTTTAAAAGTAGAAAATCTTAAGATTGGCTGCGTTCCATGGTCTGGGGATAGCTTTACCGTCTAAGTCCTTCAGATGGTATGTCCCTTTGCCTGCTAGGCCAGTCACCTTGTATGCCCCTTCCAATTTGCGTCGAGCTTTCCTTCGCCAAGGGCCACTGTATTGCCCATCACCTTTCTTAAGACCTAGTCCCCAATTTTGAACAGCCTGGGGTGCACGACCTAGTTGTATTTCTTGGAGAGTTCTTGCTGATAGACCGCTATGTGGATCAGAGCCCATTCCCTTCTTTCCTCGGCTAGGTCAAGCTCTAATGCCACTGCTTCCTCGTTCAAATCTGGCTGGAAGTTCTCAGACCGGATGGTTGGCATACCAATTTCCAGCGGGATAACGGCTTCCATGCCATAGGCCAAGGCGAATGGTGTCTTCCCGGTCGACTGCCTTGGCGTAGTGCGGTATGCCCAGAGCACATTAGGGAGTTCTTCGGCCCACTTCCCCTTGGCTTTCTTAAGCCGCTTCTTCAGCCCATCCAGGATGGTCTTGTTTGAGGCCTCTGCCTGACCATTTGACTGAGGATAGGCCGGCGTTGAATTGTAGAACTCGATCTTTAACTCTTCGCAAAATCCACGAAAGAGTTTCCCATCGAATTGAGTGTCATTATCCGAGATGAGGGCCTTTGGTATGCCGAAGCGAGTGATAATATTTTTCCAAACAAACTTTTTCACATATTTTTCCTTTATGGTTGCCAATGGCTCGGCCTCGACCCACTTGGTGAAGTAGTCGGTAGCGGCGATGCAGAATCTGCGATTGCCCGGAGTTGCTGGGAGTGGCCCCACTATATCTAACCCCCAAAGTGCGAACAACCAAGGACTTGTAAGGGGGAGCAATTCTCTCGCTGGCTGGTGGATCTAGTGAGCGAATTTCTGACACTTTTCACACTGGTGAACATATTTCTGCGCGTCTCCCTGCATGCACGGCCACCAGTAACCTTGGAAAATTGCTCGGTAAGCCAAAGACCTGCCCCTAGTATGGTTTCCGCAGATGTCTTCATGGATCTCATAGAGGAAAGCCTCCACCTAGGCGGGGTGGACACACTTCAGATACGGCTCGGTAAAGGACTTCTTATACAAGGCTCCGGACGGGAAGAGCCAAAACCGCTCTGACTTGGCCCGGATCTTGTTGGCCGCCTTCTTTTCTTCTGGTAGAACTCTATCTTTTAGGAAAACGATGATGGGGTCCATCCAGGAAGGACCCATGTCGGTGTAGAGTACCTCGGTCACTTCTGGTTCCTCAATGCTTGGTCGAGGTAAAAATTCTATCATCAAGGGGTTAGGAAAAGCTGTCTGAGTAGAAGCAAGCCCGGCCAATTCATCAGCTGTGTTGTTTTCTTCGCAGTTGATCTGTTCCACTCTTATGGCAGTGAACTTCTTGATCTCTGCGCGCACCAGTGCCTGATACTTGGCCATTCTTTTATCCCTGGCTTCATACTCTCCAGAGACCTAATTGACCACCAGTTTAGAGTCGCTGAACACCATGAGGGCTGACGCTTTCATCTTCAAAGCACTCCTTAGTCCGGCAAGGAGGGCTTCATATTCCGCTTCATTGTTAGACGCTTGGAAGCCGAGCGTAATTGCTTGCTCGATAACCAGCCCGTCCCGTGAAGTCAGTACGATACCCAGGCCGGCCCCATGTTTGTTGGATGCCCCATCGACGAAGAGCTTCCACATCTCGCCAATGAACAGCTTCCAGCAATCAGAGGGGTTTTGGGAGCTTCTCAATTCCAAGTCTCTGGTCAGCTCATTCAGGTCTCTTTCCATGTCTCGGTTGAATTCGTCTTCCAATAAGTTACCTGGCTTAGTTAGTTCGGTCTCCATTTGCTCTTTTTCCACTTGCGAGCCAACACTTGTCGCCATTGCCTGAACCACAAGCTGTGCCAAATCCGCACTAGCAAAATCAACCAGGCAAACCGGACGTATTCCAGGGGCGAACTCCACCACAAAGTCTGCAAGAGCTTGAGCCTTGATCGCGGTGCACGGTCGGAACTTAATGTCGTACTGCCCCAATTCCACGGCCCATTTTCAAAATTCGCCCGGTAAAGTCTGCCTTTCAAAGAGCACCCTAAGTGGAAACTCGGTCAGCACCACTATTGTATGGGCATGAAAATAGTGCGCCAACTTCCTCGAGGCCATCATTAGAGCCAGGTCTAACTTTTCTAGCGGCAAATATCTCGACTCAGCAGGGAGCAAGGTCTTGCTTACGTAGAAGATGGGTAAGTGCTGGATGCCTTCAGTGCGGACTAGGACGGCGCTCACCGCATATTGAGAGACTGCCAAGTAAAGATTCAACTCTTCGCCCGGCTGAGGTGTGACTAAGATAGGGGCTGAGGAAAGGTACACTTTTAAGTCTACCAGTGCACAGTCACATTCATCATCCTAGAAGAACTTGGCCTTCAAAGTTTTAGAGAAGGGCCTGCAACAATCTGAAGACCGGTTGATAAATCTGTTCAGTGCGGTTGTCATCCCGGCAAGATGTTGCATGTCCTTTGTGGAGTTTGGGCGCTCCAGTTCTTGTATTGCCTTGATTTGGGATGGGTCGGCTTCAATTCCTCGGTTTGTAACCAAAAAACCCAGAAACTTCCGGTGCCGACTCCGAAGGCGCATTTGGAGGCATTCAAACGAAGCTTGTGGTGTTTAAGTATGACAAACATCTCTGCTAGGTCGGCGAGGTGTTGAGACTTCTCCTTACTCTTCACCACCATATCATCGATGTAGGACTCCATGGTGCGACCCAGAAGTGGAGTGAATATCTTTGTCACCATCCTTTGAAAAGTTGCCCCGACGTTCTTCAGTCCGAACGGCATGACTTTATAACAATATAGGCCTCTCGGGGTAGTGAACGATGTGATCTTTCGGTCTGGTTCATACATGGCTATCTAGTGGTAGTCGCGATATGCGTCCAGGAAGCTAAACCTCTGATGGCCAGCGGTCAAATCCACCAGCTGGTCAATTCGAGGGAGGGGGAAGCTATCCTTTGAGTACGCACGGTTGACCGTCTTATAATCAACACATACCCGCCATTTGCCATTCTTTTTCGGAACCACCACCGTGCTGGATATCCATCGAGGGTATTGTACTTTTTCTATTGCCCCCGCTTCTAACAAATTTTGACCTCTTCTGCCACTACCTCGGCATGGTGTAGAGCCGAGCGGCGAGTCCTCTAAATGACCGGCTGCGCATTAGGGAAGACATTCAACTGGTGGCAAATAAAGCTGGGGTCGACGCCAGGCATGTCATAAGGCGTCCACGCAAAATCCTCCAAATTGGAAACTAAGAAGTTGACATAATCTAACCGCTCGGCGCTAGACAAAGACGATCCCAAGAGGAAGAACTTAGTTGGGTCGTTCTCGTCGATGCGCACTTTCACCAAATCCTCGACTGATTTTTTCTCGGCCTTTCTTCCTATGTCTTCAAGGACCTCCTTTCCCTCGGGTCCCTCAATCATTTAGACAAACCCTTTGGCTGCTTGGCTACCATTTACCGTAACGAAGCATTATTTTGCCATCACCTGGTCTCCCCAAACTTCCTCTATTTGTCCAGTTGGAGCCAGGAAGCGCAAAACCTAATAGTAAGTCGACACTACTGCTTGCATGGCGTACAACCACCACCTGCCCAAAATCAAGTTGTAGGTGGATGGGACTTTGAGCACCCAGAGCTCTACTTGCTTTATGACTGAACCCGCTTTGACCGGCAATATGATCTTCCCTACCGACCATTCCGGCTGAGAGTTGAACCCAACCAACGGAGACGTCGCAGGGGCCAAGTCCTTGTCCTCTAACTTCATTTGTTTGAACGTGTCATAATACATGATTTTGACCGAACTCTCCTGGTCAATCAAGAACCTTTTGATGTCAAAGTCTTTGACGTGAAGAGTGACCACTAGGGCATCATTGTGGGGCATCTGGATCCGCTCCAAATCCCTTCTCGAAAAGGTAAGGATGTCCTTCTCTTCGGTCTTCCCTTTCTTCACAGCGGGCTGATCGGAGAGCACTTCCCTCATGTGCTCAGCTTTCTTAATCATCCCTCTTAGCTCGCAGACCCTGACTGGTTCAATGATGCCATGGATGACATTGATCACGCCTTGGGGCGCTGCCTCAAGGGCAGCCATGCCGTTTGGCTCGGTCTGTCCCTGCGGGGCCGCTTTCATGCCACCATCTATGTATTGGTCAAGATGCCCTGCCGCCACCAACTCCTCTAAGTGTTGTTTGAGTGGCAAGCAGTCCTCTGTTCGGTGCCCCCGTTCTTCATGGAAGGTGCATCGAAATCTTGAGTTAAAGCCTCTCTGTGCACTCCCCAACTTTGCCGGCCAGCGGACAAAAGGCTCTCCTCGGATCTCACTCAAGATGTGGTAGATAGGGATTTTAAAGACCGTGGTGATTCCAGTCCGTGCCTTCAATTTTCTCTTGGCATCCTCCTTTGCATCACGGGGAGCATCAGCTCGGTCATTTCTACGACCTTTGTTTCTGTCGTCACGGTTTGAACCACGACATTGATCTTTTGACCGGTCGTTTGGGCGGTTATCCTCCTGCCCGATCGAGTGAACCTTCCCCGCCACCTTTCTGTCCTCAACGATCGGATAAGCCTTCTCGGTCGCGGAGACAGCATCATCATTCACACGAATTTGCTCATTAATCCGCTGCAACAAGGACTCCATGGTTGTAGGCTGATGCATCGTGAGCCAGTGTCGCAATCTATGTCCGACTGGGAGACCCCTATTGTATTGAGTGATTGCCAGATTGGTAGGGCAGTCGTGGATTTTGTTGTAAGTTTCCAAGTACCTCGCGTTGTATGCCTTCAATGAACCTCCAGATTCCATCTTGACGCCCAAGAGACGGTCGACCTCCTTCGGTGTTCGAGTGTTGGTTTTGAATCTGGTGATGAAGGCTTCCACTAGTTGCTGCCACCCCTCGATACTCCCCTCTGGAAGCCTTTCGAACCATTTCAGGCCCAGTTCTCCCAAGCTTGCTGGGAATATGAGGCACATCAAGGTGTCGTTGCGCCGGTGGCCAGCCATTACTTGTCGGTAATGACTCACGTGCATGTACGGATCCGTCTTGCCGTCATACAAGGTGAACTTAGGCTGGTGGAATCTGGCAGGAAGTGGTGTACTCTCGATTTCTGGGGACAGCAGCGTGGCTGTAAGTCTCGCTAGCTCTTTGTCCACTGGCGTAGGGGCCACCATCCTGGGTGCTGGCATTACCACCTCCTCGCTACAATGGACTTGGGTGCTTAACCTCTGCAACGCCGGCAACCTCTAGGTTTCCCTCCGGCGCGCCCTCTCTTCCAACACATCCCTCAAGTCCCCGAAACGGGTAGAAAAAGAGTATCGCGACGTCGTTGACGGGCGCGAAGGACGGTAAGTGTTGTCGTAAGTGAGGGATCTGCTCTCCCTTGGTTCAGAGTCTCCAACCCCATAGTTTCTGGTGATAGAAAGGGAGTGCATTCTTTCCTGGCGGCGACTGCTAGAACGAGGAGACGGGGTGCGCTCATTGAGGTTGCCCTCTCCAACAACACCCTTCCCCTTATCTGGCGTTTCAGCATCTCCATCTCAACCGCCATCTTTCGAATGAGGGCGTCCTGGTCCTTGAGTTTGTGCTCCAAGAGCTGTGTACGGGACTCCCCCCTCCGCCGACGGCCCTCTGGACTCTTCGAGCAATCGGTACTCCTTCCGCGCTTGTCTGGCACACCTCGCGAAGAAGTTTCTAGGCCCGCCATGACTGGAACATTCGGGGGGCCTTCTCTCCATCGGACAGACTCTGGTGTGACGCCATCGATGACGGACAGCAAGGTTTCGTCGTTGTTGGCCATGGAAATGGTCGAAGGAGCTTGAAGAGCAAGGTTTGAGTATCAAAGACTTTCCACAAACGGCGCCAATTGTACGGGGGCAAAATATCCAGTGCTTTCTGTACTCCTTGGACTCAAGCTTCTCGTAACGGCGTCTAACCTGGCAACACAGAAACGGTGAGCTACTCGGCGGTGGTTTGCCGGATAGACCCTCCGACGATCAAGTCAAATTACTTGAGGAAGAAGAAGGCTGCTGGAGAGAGAGTGTGTGGTTCAGTTTTTTTCAATGGCTTACCTCTAACGTTCATCTTTCACTCCTATTTCTAGGCTGGCCATGCTGCCTCACGATTGTGCGCGCACTACCTTTGCTGTCCTTCCCTGGACAGGTGGCAGTGCTCGTCTCTTACCACCTTCCGCGTGTAAAGGCCTAATCCCCTAACCAGTACATGCAGAACTGCCAAACGGTATTGATGCGTGCCTAGAGCAGATTTCCTCTCCTTCACGCCATTGGCCCATGCGGCATACTTAACCGGGATACCACGACCGGCCTATCCCTTGCAGAGAATTACCACCACAAGCAACACAACCGAGATGTGTCTCGCCGACCTATCCCTTGGGAAGAAGCAAAAGTATGATTACCATGGCCGAACTGAGTGCGACCGATCCATCCCGGCTAACCGGCGGTGAGGCATGCCAGCCTTTTCCCGCTCTACCTTTATTCTAGGTTATATGAAGTCGGGCCATCTCGGCTAACCGGTTGGAGGCATGCCAGCCCTCGCCCCGTTCTCAGTCTAATTCGGGCTATCCTTAGCTCGGTTACGTCATACCACTGCATGCCCAACCGAATGTCCAGCCAAGTCGGAGCTCGGCCGGGCCTTGGACCACGCCTGGCCGGTCAAACTTCCCCGGTCGTGCAGATCAGGCAGCAGAACCGCAACACTTGAGAAAACAGCTCGGCATCGTGAGGCTCGTCACAACCTGCGTTACCGTAGCTCGGCCATACTGTCCGGTGCAAATCTCCCCTCTCACTAATGAATTATAATCATAATGAAAATCAATACACCATATAATTAATATAAATAAATATTTTCAAAAATAAGAGAGAGAAATCATAAATAAATAACATAAAAAATATAATCCATAACCAGATTGAAATATTTGAACCTCTAATCTCATAATGAAACTAATAGAGTAACCCTGTTAGTTTTGCAAAAAATTTTGTCAAAAATTAAAAACAAAAAACAAAAATAGAAAATGAGATATAAAAAATTATAACATACATTGTATTTTAATCAATTATTTTTTAAATAGTAGTAAAAGTGTAATTTTTAAAAATTAAGGTTGGGCATGTGACCCTTTTGGTCTCAACATGCTTCTGCCCCTGATGATGATGAAACATATTGCAATTTGTCAATTTATTTTTTTATTTCTTTATTTATCTAAAAGAACAGATAATTTTTTTTTTAAAATTAACAAATAGGACAAGATAGGCTAGATCTGTTCAAAATTTGAACAGATAGAGGTTTAGTGTATTTCAATCACAAAGATTTAAATTTTAACAAATAAAAAAATTAAAATGACTTTTCACATATGAAAAAAGAAATAGATAGGAAAAAATAGGTTTGCGATGTATTTCAATCACAAAGATTTAAATTTCAATAGATAAAAAAATAAAATGATTTTTCACTAATTAAAAAAATAAACAGATAGAAAAAGTAGGCTTGAGAAATTCAAAAAGTAGGGAAAATAAGTTTGAATTTCAACAGATAAAAAAAAAAATTAGAACAAAAATTTTGACGAGTAGGAGATGATAGGACAAGAATTTCAATAGATAAAATTTTACAGAAATAGAAATTTCAACATATAGGGAAAAATAGGACAAGAATTTTGAAATATAGACAAAAAAAATTAAACAGATAAACAAAACATTTAAACAGATAGACAAAAAATTGAACAGATATAAAAAAATTAAATAGATGGATATAAATTTGAACAAATAGTCAACAAAAAGTCAATAGATAAATTAAAGGATAAAATTGAAAACAAAATATCTTTTAAGACTTTCTCACCAAACTATTTCATAAAAAGTGGATCTCTCACTAATAAAAAACTTGACTAGACTTGTACCCTCCTTACCTTAGATTTTTCAACAATAAACCCTTTTTTTTTTTAATGTGTCTGATTGAATTTATAAAGCTAATCCACTTAATTTTTTTAGTGACATAGTCAACATTAGATGCGATTTTATGAATTTTAATTTCAATTAAATTTTTTTTTTTTTGGTTGCAAAAGCGACTAATATAGATATTGTTAATAATATTTTGCAATCAATGCATGTATTAGAAAGAAAAATATATAATTTAACAAGTCAATTAATGTATTTTCTTTTTGGGAGACTTATTTATAAGTCCTTTTTCAGACACTTATGGTAAGTTAAGTTCTGTGTAATTTCTTTTAGAGTCTCAAGTCCTATTTAGATAGGAATGTATTCTACGAGATCCTACATAAATGTAACGTGACGTGACACTTACATAAACGTAACGTAATGTGACGTGACACCTACATAAACGTAACGTGACACCTATCACAAACGTCCAGCAACATTAGATGCGTTTTTATGAATTTTAATTTCAATTAAATTTTTTTTTTTTTTTTTGGTTGCAAAAGCGACTAATATAGATATTGTTAATAATATTTTGCAATCAATGCATGTATTAGAAAGAAAAATATATAATTTAACAAGTCAATTAATGTATTTTCTTTTTGGGAGACTTATTTATAAGTCCTTTTTCAGACACTTATGGTAAGTTAAGTTCTGTGTAATTTCTTTTAGAGTCTCAAGTCCTATTTAGATAGGAATGTATTCTACAAGATCCTACATAAACGTAACGTGACGTGACACTTACATAAACGTAACGTAATGTGACGTGACACCTATATAAACGTAACGTAACGTGACACCTACATAAACGTAACGTAATGTGTCACGTAATGTTTCGCAAACTTAATGAGTTTTTATTTTTTTAAATTGAACGTGAAAATGTTGCTGGTTTATGTTGATGTCACGTTACCTTTCATATAAATATGATCTATGGTAACATTCAATTGAATGTTACCATAGATCATAGATATCACGTTACGTTTATGTAGATGTCACGTTATGTTACGTTTATGTAGATATGATCTATGGTAACATTCAATTTCCTAGGTTTTACATTACGTTTATGTAGATGTCACGTTACGTTACCTTTATGTAGATATCATCTATCTATGATATCATAGGTGTCACGTTACGTTTATGTAGGTGTCACGTTACGTATAGGTGTCACGTGACGTTTATACAAATATGATCTATAGTAAAATTCAATTTCCTATATATGATTTTATTATTATTTATGATATTAACAATTAATATTGAGGGTAAATATGTCAACAAACTTCCCACAGGACTTATGGGAACATAAGTTTTTTAGTAGGACCATATGTAGCATAAGTCTCCCTAATAGGACTTATAAATAATTTTTCCTTTCTTTTTTTGCTATTTGTATAAATTCTTCTACAACATTTAATTCGAAAAATAAATCCAAACCATCAATATCTTTAAAATTCTTATTAATACCGATATTGTTAATAATATTTTGTAATCAGTGCATTAAATGTTAGAGGTCCCAAATTTTCTACCAAATAAATTGCGGACCCCACACCCATGTGAGACATTTGGTCATTTGTTTGGTAGAAAATTTGGTGTCCCTAGCATTATCCAAGATGTAATCAATACATGTATTAGAAAGAACAATTAATGTTGAGAAAATTGGAGAGGCATTTTAATTACTCTAAGTTACACAGAAGTTTTTGTACTCTGCATTGAACACATAACAAACATGCAATACATGCATTACATTATATAAATTTGGGGCCTTCATCTGTTGGGGGCCGAAGGCAACGGCTTCAACAGCCTTACACTTGGGCCGGCCTTGGGTTTGATCCACTACAATTGTTTTGAGACTAAATTAACTGGTGTTGGAGTTGGAACCAAGCTGTTTTTTTTTTGTTTTTTGGAGGGTGAAGCTTGAAAACCAAACTATAAAATTCCGGCAATATCTTGCAGCACCAGCGGGCAAAGAGAAGAAGGAACATCCTCCATCCAAACTCGTGGTGATGAGAAATGAATAGCTAATTTAATCAAGCTGTGTTTTTCTTTTTTAAAAATCAAATCAAATCAAATCAAACCATACGATTTAAACCAAATCAAATGAATCTCTAGCAAAGTGTTTCCTCCATTTTTTTTCCCTCATACCAACCTCCTCCATATACCACCACGACACATCCTATCATTCTTGATGCAAGGAATTGTAAGGAATAAAAACCAAACCGACAGAATAACTACGAATTTAAATA